GGCTAATGTCAAGCTAGTTTTTGCCTCTAGCAAAGAATCAACACTGAGGTAGTTGAGTTCCTGGAAGAAGGTCACCCTGCCCATCCTAAGTACTTGTCAATGAGCTGTAAATTATAAGGAAATTTAATTTTTTTCTTTTTTACCTTTGTTCTCCACATCACAAACCACCTCCTTCTTGAAGTTGGGAGTCACTGGGAAGGAAGAACTGGGGCTTTGTGGTGTGCTGTGTTTAATAACAGAGTGGAGGGGGATGGTACCTGGATTGTAGCGTTTGCTGATTTCCCTAGTGTTATATTCCCACTACGGCTGGTTTTAAATTACCAACGTGATGTTATTGAATACAGAGGTGGAAAGAGATGTGCACAATCTGCCCTCAAAAGCAGGTGGGAGCTGTCTTCAACATAGCACTGATGCACCGCCATACCTGGCACACATACACCGTCCTGTCTCATATGTGTCTATGTATTTTTTCATTCCCGTTCACCCACATCCCAAGCTCTCATTCCTTTTGCCCTGTAGTCACTGTAATGGTATTTTTATGTATCTATGTAAATTATAAAACGTACAGTCTTGGTGTATATATTTGCATTTTATGTAAATTCTCAAATTGTTCTTATTCTTGTCCTTGCTTTTATTTTTAGTTGCCCTCTTAGTTTTTGTGATTATAGATAGTATATTGATAACTCTGGTTCTCATGCTGATCCTGCAGGTGGGATGCCTGCCTATCCTGCCATCTTTCCTGACTTCCAGCTCTTGTTTATCATGGATTATTTTACTCATTGTTGAGGGTATTAACATTTCCAGTCAGTTCTGAAACCACAATCAGGTCTATGTATTTTATTCAAATGTTGACTCTAAACCTGAAAATGAAGTCTTTTTTAAAATTATTTTTATTTTATTTATTCATGAGAGACAGAGAGAGAGAGAGAGAGAGAGAGAGAGAGAGATGCAGAGACACAGGCAGAGGGAGAAGCAGGCTCCATGCAGGGAGCCCGACGTGGGACTTGATCCGGGGTCTCCAGGATCACACCCTGGGCCAAAGGTGGCACTAAACCGCTGAGCCACCCGGGCTGCCCACCCCCCGTTTTTTTTAACAACCATATAAATAAATATTGCTCACTTCAGGACCAAGCATTATATGTGAAGATTATATTTGTTTTTTGAAGTCCAACATCATGACCAAAAAGGAATTCTCTTTTCTTTATCCCATTGGTTGCCTAAAACCATGTTACATTTTAGTTTCATTCATGTATAGAAACAAAATAATGTGAATCTCCTCTTCAATCAAGAAAAATATGAAATCATATGAGGCGCCTGCCTGGCGAGCTCAGTCGATAGAGCATGTGACTCTTGATCTCAGGGTTGTAAATTAAAGCCCCACGTTGTAGAGATTACTTAAAAATAAAAATGTAAAAAAAATATATGAAATCACAAATGTGAATCTCCCTTTCTGGGATCAGCTTTCATTCAAGAAAGCTGTGAAGTAATTATCTTGGACCTAACACCTTTTGCCAGGCCCTCTGTGATGAATTCTTTTTGCTGATAAGAGAAGGGAGGAATGTAGATTATTTATGACCTGTGGAACTACCTGGTCGGGGTAAAGCATACGAATTAAAACTTGCTCTGCTCAATCGTAAATGGCAGATTTCTTGGGTTTCTTTTCTTGCTGCTTACTATAAAAAGGAGAAGGAGGTTGCTGGAGGTTGTTTTATTATTCTAAAAGTAAGCCTTTGTGATTGTTAAAATTGTAAAACATGTTTTGATTGCTAGGAGAAGTCATAAAACTTGACTGTAGGAGAGATTAAATGTTGATTGAAGATTGAGCTTATTGTTAAGCATTTTATTTGTAACTGAACTTAAAATGAACTTGGATTTTAAGAATTATTTTCCCACCTAACCAAACGGTTTTATTCTCTAAGACTATAAATGGCCAGAATCACTTTCAGTTGGTATGTCTGCTGCCATGATTTTGTATGACTATTTTTTAGGGGAAAAAATTGATGTAATTTGTGTGCAATAGAATTTACCGTTTTAAAGTATATAATTTGGTGAATTTTAGTACAAGGTTGTACAGTCATCACCACTATCTAATTCTCACTGAATAGCCTCATTTTCAAATTTTGATTAAGTTAAATCTGCTACTAGTTCATCTTCATATCTAGAAATATGATGGTTATAGCCAATTTTTTAAAAAATATTTATTTATTTATTTTAGAGAGAGTGAGAGAGAGTGCAGGGGGAGGGGCAGAGGGAGAGAGAGAGAATCTCCAGCAGGCTCCCCACTGAGCATGCAGTCCGACATAAGACTCGATTTCACCTACCCTGAGATCATGACCTCAGCCGAAATCGAGTTAGAAATCGAGTTAGATGCTTAACTTACTGAGCCACTCAGGTGCCCCTGTTATAGCCAATGTGTCTAGAAGTCTTTTTTTATAATCAAAAGAAGGGATTTTTTTTCCTGATAACTTCATTAAAAAAGATTACCAGTTAACACCCTCCAAAAGGTGTTTGGACAATGTCTAGAAAGGGAGCAGTAGTTCTAGAACAGTCTGTTGTCATGATTTTCAGGCTTACAGATGGGCTGAGAGGCCAATTATTTTTTACTTTTTCCATTCTGGGAAAATAATAGCTTTTTGTACTTTCATGTTTTCCCATGGGAAAGAGGATTTCATGAACTTCTGAGCATTATTGATCTATCCCTCATCTGGGAATATTTATGTATTTGTGACAGTTTTTTAAGAAAACAAATAATATCAACATTACAGTATAGTTGTTTTGATATGTATCTTTCGTGTCCCCAACTCAAATAAAAACTCCTTAGGGCAGAGAGCATGTCAGACTTTCCTTCAAAGTCTTCACAGGAGCCCACACAATACAAGATACAGAGCTGACCCTTAGCAAACATTGATGACCTTGACATGCTGCTATAGACTGGTTTGTGGCTATTTCTATATACTGATTGAAAAAAAAAAAAGTACCTTTGAGTTCTGATTCTGTCATTTGCTAGTGGCCTGACATTGGAAATGTAATTTTAAAATCTCAGGACTTCACTTTTTGAACTATTTATTTTGAAAAATATTACACATTTTCAAAAGCTGATAGTAAAATGAATCCCAAATGCACCCATCATCCTCAATAATTTTCAACATATAGCCATTCTTTACTCTTCTTTATGACAATCTACTTATGCACCATATCCCATGCTACCATTATTTTAAAGATTTGAATCTATAAGATTTGAATCATATTTCATGCTGAATTATTTTAAAGATTTGTTTATTTATTGAAAGAGAGGGATTTGGGGGGGAGAGGGAGAGAGAGAATCTCGAGCAGACTCCCCATTTAGAGTGGAGCCCAATGAAGGGCTCAATCCCAAGACCCTGAGATCATTATCTCAGCCAAAATCAAGAGTCTGATGCTCAACCAACTGAACCACCCAGGTGCCCTCCCATTAAATTATTTTAAAATGAATCCCAGACATCATATCATTTCATCTCTATTTTATTTATTTTTTTAAAGATTTATTTATTTATGATAGACATAGAGAGGCAGAGACACAGGAAGAGGGAGAAGCAGGCTCCATGCCGGAAGCCCGATGCGGGACTTGATCCTGGGACTCAATCCTGGGACTCGAGGATCGCGCCCTGGGCCAAAGGCAGGCACTAAAACGCTGAGCAATCCCCTTCATTTCATCTCTATTTTAGTGTGTATCTCTACTATACAAGAATTCTTTTTTTCTGCTGTAGCCATAATATCATCATCATACCTAATGATGGCGTCAGAGATTCCTTAATATCATCAAACTTCTGCACTCACTTACATTTCCCTAACCTTACTCTCATCTCTTTTTCATCTCATTCTCTTAGATGTTGTTTTACAGTTGGTCTCTTTGAATGAGGATCCAAATAAGAACAAATCATTTATTTGATTTGTTCTTTTCCTTTGTAAGTTTCCCTTTTGTCCTTCATCATGCCATTTATTCACTGAAGAAGTTGGGTCATTTATCTTATCCAACTCCCTCATTCTGGATTTTTTTTCTTATTGCAGCTACATGGTGTAGTTTAATGAGTTTCTTTTTCATCTCCTGTATGAATTGGCAGAGATAGAGGCTTGATCAGATTCTGGTTTAACCTCTTCTTAAGGGAATACATCACAAGTAATGCTGTATACTTCCCTCTTATTGTGGCTCATTGAGACCACATGATATCTGATTGTCTTTCTTTCAGTGACATTAAGATCTGACAGTGGCTACAGGGTGACCAGTCTTATCCATCTCTTACCCATCTCTTCATCAGCCTTTCACCTACTAGTTCAGCAGCCATTGGTAATCGTTACCTAGATCCATTATTTCACTGAGTTGTAAAATCATAATAATGTAATTCCATCCATCCTTTTATTTTTCTGCAGGTTTTAGCTGAAATTAAAAAAAAAGTTTTCTTTCACTGTTTGGTTACCCTGAAGTTCAAAGAATTTGTACAAGAAAGACATTTACTAGTTTTCAGAGTAATGAGTTGGTTTCTTAGTATTCTCCAAAGGTGATCAGTGAGATTTTCATTTCAGTGTTGCTATGAACGATGGATTTTGATATCTTTGATGTGTTTCGATTCTTTGCAGTCATTATTCTTCTTGATGTTTAAATTGTCCCATCTTTGGCTGATGGGAGCCTTTTCAAGTTGAATCTTGTAATCTTTTGTCACAACCCCAGGAGTGTTTGATATCTTCCATGCTATCTGGTATGACAAGATGTTCCAGGCTCAATTTACACATTTCCTGTCCCAGATCCCGAATTAGCCATTTATCTAAGGCGCCAGGGTTTCTTTTAATGGGAAATAGGAAAGAAAACAATCTGGGCTCTAGTAGTGCTCATTAGTCATTTTTTCCAGTCTCTTCCAGTGGATAATGTTAGGATATATGTATGTAATACATAGTGAATTCATATGAATATTTCCAATTCAAAGTTACAATTATAAGATTTTTATATAACTTCTTTGATTTTTGTATCTTTTTTCCTTTAAACCAAAAATCTTGGTTCCTAATCATATTAATATAATTACTACTTGCTTTAACCTACAATATGTACTAGTTTCAAAATGAGGATACTAATATTCATACTAACAATCTCATCACAGAACAGGTTATGATTTCCATTTATCCTGTGAGGAATGTGAAGTTAAATGACCATGCCTTCAAATATTTTTTTTAAGTTATTTATGTATGTATGTATGTATGTATTTAAGATAGAGAGAGAGAGAGACAGGCAGAGGGAGAAGCAGGCTCCATGCTGGAAGCCCAACGCAGGACTCAATCCCAGGTCTCCAAGATCACACCGTGTGCTGAAGGTGACGCTAAACTGCTAAACCACCGGGGCTGCCCTCCATGTCTTCAAGTCTTTTGGAAAAAACTTCACTAAGTTGATACTCAGCTTTGTTTTATTTTTCTTTTGATTTCTAGAGTTAAGAATCCTTCCTTGGGCTAAATACATGAAGGGGGATGGAGCCAATAAAAAGAAGTGTTCCTGGGTTTCTGTCAGAATGAAATGAAATGTTACATAGAAAGCACACAATATAAAAAAATATTTAAAAAAAAAAAGAAAAGCACACAATAAACCACAAGAGCTACGGGAATGTAAAGTGCAAGTTACTATGATTATTTCTCTGTAGCAAAGGCCATCTTCACTCCCAGGTAGAGGATGCTATTGGCCAAATTGTCCACAGCTCACTTGGGCCCTGACTTAGGGTCAATTACTAGCCACTGGGGCCCAATCATCTCAATTGGCCATTTGACTTCTCCCTGTCTCAGATTCCTTATATGTAAGATGAGGCTGAATTAGAATACCCACCTCATAGATTTTCTGTGAAGATCAAAGGAAAATGTGCACCCTATTATATATTTTTCTTCTTCCCTCTCCCACTTCGATCAGGGAAGCCAAGCTGTGTGGGGAACTGGGACCATTTAGAAGATGGCAACCAAACAGACAGAGTCAGTCACCATCATTAGCCTCCGGAAGCTGAGCCTGGAGACCCGAGAGCCACCACCAAAAGGTAAGATGATCATGGAAGTCTCAGACCCCCAAGGTGCTGCTTAATTCCCCCCTGTAGTTACTAGTTTTTATAATTGGTTTCCCAACATCTTCTTCCTCATTATTAGTGGGCAATCATCAGCTTCCCGCAGAGATCATTCCTTTCATTCTGCCCTTCCTTGTTAGAGTCAAAGACATTCACTGTGGAAGATGCTGTGGAGACCATTGGATTTGGACGTTTCCACATTGCCCTGTTTCTGATCATGGGCAGCACTGGGGTGAGTGCTCCTTGGAGATCATTTGGCTCTTCAAAGCTAATTCATAATTGGACACAAAGAGTCTTCCACTGACCTCTAGCTCTGGGATGTCCATTCAGGGAGGAGAGTGAAAGAGAGCAGGAACTCCGTGAGATGTCTAATTAAAAAATAATTTTCATCTACTTTGGCATGTTTGGTTATGAGCAAATAAATATTTAACTAGTATCACTCTAAGCAAAATTAGACATATGGTCCTCAAATTTTTGTGCATAAGAATCACAAGGGGAGGGGATCCCTGGATGGCTCAGTGGTTTAGCACCTGCCTTGGCCCAGGGTGTGGTCCTGGAGTCCGGGGATCGAGTCCCACTTTGGGCTCCTGCATGGAGCCTGGTTCTTTCTCTGCCTATGTCTCTCTCTCTCATGAATAAATAAATAACATAAAAAAAAAGAATCACGAGGGGATACCTGTCATCATTACATATTTCTAGAACCTTTAGGAGGCTCTGATAAAGGTTTGCTATTTACCATCAGCTATTTTGAGAAAAGAAGAGTGACAGCTCAGCTCCATGGCTTTGACCAGTAGTGGGAATGTCCTAAGAAACTACTATTGCTTCCTCCTTTTGTTATAGGTGCAGTGAGAATATGTTAGGAATATGATAAGGAGACAGAATGGAAAATCTGACATGACAATGGTTTAAAGGAGAAGTTAAAGATAGCCAAGAGGAGAGTAAATAATAGAGAGCCCTGACCCTCACCCTCAGCAAAATGGTATGAGAAAAAGAGTGATGTGAGCTGGAGGTAGCACTCAGCAAGTTCTGCTGCAGGGCTTCAAAGCCTTGTGTTCTCAGGAGGCAGTCCGGTAAAGGAGAGAAAGGCAAGACATGTCTTGGCCCTACTTTTATAATAACCAACAATACAATTTAGAATATTTCTTCATTTATAAAGTAGTATCTCACCCAGGCTCCAAAATGGTCAGATTCCATGTTTCAAGGGACAAGTGGGTGTGATTGGGGAGGATTTTATCATAACTCTTTTCTACTTCAACCAAACATCTCTACTTCTGTTTAACATATTTGGTTCCCAATGTGGTTTCATTACATGGTCTCCTTGGTTTAAACACTGTTAAACTTTCTGCATCTTTTGCCTTCAGATATGTTGTAAACCCTGTATTTTCTTCACCAATAGCCCCCCGGCAAGTGAAAAGAATACATATAATTTTTTTTTTACCTTCCTAAATAAACCAAACCGTCTATACAAAGGGAGTACATCTTTATTAGTTATTATCTGTACTAGAAAGATGGGGTTATTGTACCCCCTTCTCAAAGGATAGGTATCACCTCTATATAGGTAACCCCTGATGTCTATATCCCAATCCACATCCATGGAGATTGTATGTCTATTGCATATTTACACTTGATGTGGTTGCAAAATAGCTTCTGGTTTTCTTTAAGTGTTTTATAAGCTGCTTCATTCCATTCTTCCCAACCCATCAGTAGGAAGGGCTGTTTACCAGGCCTCCTCCTCCGTGTCATGAGCGTGTAAACACACACACACACACATACACATACACACACACACACACACACACAGCTGTTTAATTGGATGTGGTAACCAAATCTCTCTCCTAGTTTTAGTGTGGGCTACTTTGGATGGATCTTCTCATCAGAATAGGTGTGTTGATAGTGATGGGCATGGTTCCTCCTGGCCATGGTCTGTTAAGGTTCTTGGTCAGAAGCAGTCAGAACAATAGTTGGATTTCAGAGCCTAGTGTGACTAGGGTGTATGTAATAACATTACAGCAGCCGGGCAGCCTCAGTTTGTGACCAAGCATTCTGAATCCTGGTGTTCTCTTAGGTCTACTAAGATCTTATATGGTGCTGCTCTCTGTATCCCTCTCGCCTAAGGCTATTATATCAGGGTGGGGCAGAGTCTTATCCCTTATTGGTTTATTTTCTCCTAACACCACTTAGAGGAGTAGAGTCCTGATTAATATTGACCCAACTCTCTATATTACTGAGAGAGATAAGTTTAATAAATCAAACATCCTTCTGAGGTTGTCATGCCATCTCTTATTCATTATACTTTTGGGACTAAAACATACCAGCTATCTGAACTCTAAACATAACTAAAGTACTTTCCAAGAAGAAAGAAGCCTTTATGGTACCTTTCTAATTCCCATATAGTAGCTAACACCACTATATTTTTTTCATCCCAGACCTTCAAGTTATATGTACGCAAATAGCACCATAACACATATAATCCACACAAATATCAATTCTTTACTAGCATTGACTTCTTCCTTTCCCTAGGAGATAAACCCACCTTATAAATTACAATATATAGATGAGAATGGTATTCAAATTTCCTATTGAAAGAAATATTTAGTGGCACAGCTTATGAAAGGTTTGTCAAACAGACATTCTTTCTCTGTGATGAACTCGTTGTGTACTTGCTGCTTTACTTTCTTTTAGTTTTTGTGAAATACACCTTCCAACTCAGCTTCTTGAGATCAGAGACTATTTTACAAATCCATTTGCCAGGGCTATGCCCTGAGACCTTCACAATGCTGAGTATGAAGCAATAGAGCTAGGTTGATGTGGATGCTGGTGGTTAGCTAGGTCATGCAATACCCAAGTGACCCACCCCCTATTCCCCCACACACAACACCCTCATAGTGTTGCTGTTCAAATGCATGGATCAGCAACATCACAAATAAATATATGTCATAAATCTGTGGGAACCCTCTCAAATTGTTTGAAACATAAATATTACATCCATGAAAGCCACAGGTCTACTATACTTCTTTATCTTGACACTAGCAGTATCGAGTGGATACACTATATGTGCTCCCTAAGTGGAGGAGGGGAAGGAGGAAGTTAGGATGGGAAGGATGAGAAATAGGCACACGTGGGAAGAATTGATGAGAAGCCAGCACTAAAACGTGGTTTTTTCTCTCCTTTCTTAAGGTTGTTGAGGCCATGGAGATCATGTTAATAGCAGTCGTGTCTCCTGTCATCCGCTGTGAATGGCAGTTGGAGAATTGGCAGGTGGCATTAGTGACCACGGTGAGTGCCTGCTTCTGGTGCTTTGAATAAACCAACTGAGAACCCAGGGCTTCTGCTCCCTTCCCTCATGCCATAGGGCTAAGAGACAAAGGCTACCTCAATGCTGGTTGTGTTGGCTTCCAAAGCTCATAAGTTTGCAGACCCAAACTACCACTTGGGGTCTTTCTCTTTTTTTCTCTTTTCCTATAGGGATCACAATTTTGAGCTGCTTATTTTCTAGCCCCTAGCAAGAGGCTAGAAGAGATCAATGCAAATCAGAGAGAGTAGCTCTTAAGTCATGGATTAGTTATGATTTGAGTTAGACTAAAATTAGTTGGACCATAGTGACTTACACAATCACCAAATCATGCTCACAGACTTGTGTTATGCATTCAACTTTTCTCAAAGATCGTTATGAATAGCCTTATGAATTGTGCATTAAGTTTTGCTGCAGCGTGGAATTAAGCATATTACTCATCATCTTTTTTTATTAAGTACTAAACTAATGAATTGCCAGCAAGCTGTGCACACATGTGTGTTGGAGGGAGTGCAAGCAGTTCCATGTTGCTTGCATAGAAAGGAACAGGGAGCAATGGGAGACAAGCTTGCAGAGACAGGTGGGGATCAGAAACATCTTGGAGTCTGTCCATAGACTCCATTCTGGAGACCACTGTAAGCCCCTGCACCCCAACTCTGGTTGACAGGCGCAAGCTGTCCAAGCAAAGTATAGTTGGTACAGATCTATATGACAGTTTTTCAAATTAGTCTTTTATATAACAAAGACCAGTTTCACCTAAACACATCATTGACTTCATAGTCATTACATATTTCTCATTAAATGGCTATTAAAGTATACTTCCCATCATGCAGAGCTCTGGAAAATCTTTTTTTTTTTTTAAATCTTAAAAGAGGCTCTTCATGCCTAAAAATGTTGGAGACTACACTGTGGATGATAGGGAGCCATTAAGGGGCTTTAAGGAGGGGCATGGTCAGCTTTCCAAGAGCCCTGAGGAGATAAGGTTGGAACGTAGATAGGTTAGCAGTGGTCAAGTGGCAGAGTATGTGGAGGGGAGGAACTGTGTTCTGGAAGTATCTCAGAGGTCACATCGGCCAAGGAGGCAAAAGAAACACAAGGTGAAGAGTGGAGAATTGACTTACTTGGGTATTGAGTGGTTTTCATGAAGACAGGACTTAATAGAGAGAAATACGATGAGCCAGGTGCCAACATCCTCACCGAGAGGGGAGTGGCAGGAGACAGGAAGGCAGAGATGGGTAGAGGATGCAGAGTCAGTTGGCGGAGGCTTGGAAGAGAGTAAGGCTTTCTAAGAGAGTGAGAGTCATGTTCTGAAAATGGCTGTGGAGAATGCCAGAAGTTTTCTCCAGCCCCCTAGCTTTCTGGGGGTTATGGGCAGAGGGGGAAAGGGTGTCCCCATCTCTCACTCACTGCCTTAACCAAACAAATTGGGAATTCTCATCTGTGTTGGGAACCAGGAGCCTCCTCACATAAGGAAATGACCTGATCTGAGTTCTCCTCTCAGAGAACGTATATTACCCACCCAGTTGTGTTTCTCCCTGTGTTGTGGGGGCCAGGAAATGTGAAGTCTGATTTTGTACTCAATCCCAGCAGCGAATGTTACAAATCCGATTACTTTTTTACATCTATTTCTCTCTTTAAAATTCCTTTATTAATTTTGTTATATTTGTTTTTTTTTTAACACTTTTAGAAGAGGGAAAGGGTATGAATAAAAATAGCTGAAGATGTTACCTGGGCTTATAATTAAGTGACTCAGCCATTTTTCATTTTCTTCTCCCCATAAAATGTAGTTGCAGTTTGGAAAGCATTCCCTGTCAATCCTGTACCTTGCGAGTGACTGCCACAAGGTCCCGTGTAATTATAACTGTGCCACACCCCAGCTGGCTTCATTCCTGAGCTCGTGGCAACATCCAGATGTGGTGTTTGCATCTGTCACTCCCACAAAACTATATTACATGGTACACTTTCTATATTTGCAGCTGACCTTTCTGTGGTTGCATTTATGTTGTTCGTGGTGGCAAATAAGGAGGCTCCCTATTGTGAGCTGTGACATGACTTCCTTGTTAGGCAGGTCCCCGCTCAGGAGACTTTGTTCTGGGGAATTCAAGTCACCCCAGAAGTGTCTGTTTCTTGCTCTGAGTCCCTGGCTTGGCTGCTGTCCTTTAGTGTCTGTAATCCTGGTTGAATCCCATACAGCTTTGGCAGCTGTGCCTTGGGTTCACACACACCCTTGCTAACAGGAGGGGCCCAGACTGGTCAGCCAAGAGGTCTTTTTCTGACCATCTCCCAGATTCCCCATTCCCAACCCCAGTGCCACCTGCCACCTTCAGGATAACCTGGCCTGGGCGGTTAGTTGTTGATGGTGTAACCTTGTGAACTGCAGATGAATTATAATCCCTCATGTTTTGTGACTAAGAGCTGGGGCTAAAGAAACAAAACTTCATGTGCTGCATAAAACAGAAATAGAAGAGTAATTTTTGTGCTAAAAATAAGTACCTGCAGAAAAAAACAGACCCTCCAAAGGAAGTGGAGAGAGGGGGAGAGAAAGAGACAGAGAGAGAGAGAGAGAGAGAGAGAGAGAGATTATTTCTTCTTGCCTCAGTGCAATTTCCCAAACAGGATTAGCATTGGCAAGCTTTGGGGTTCACATAGCCATCGAGTCAAGGTTTGTGCTGCAGGACACAGCACAAATTTTTCTTTTAATTCTAAAAATGGAAATAATAAACAACTCAGCCTTAGAAAAGTCATGTCTAAAAAAAAAAAAGTCATGTCTTTGTACTGAATGGAAAGATAATAAGAAAGAAAAAAAATCTGCCACTGATGGGAGAGAACAGAGTAACCTTTAAATTTGATCTTACTTGACTCTTTGCTTCACCTCTATTAATCATTTAATTTAAACTTAATCCAGGTACAATTAAGTCTATTAACCCAACATAGCATCTCAATAAATGAAAGTATTTTAAATCCAAAGAGCCACTTTACTCTCTGCCCTGTAGTCTGTGATTGCTTCCTTTTATTTAAGTCTACTCAAAGAGAAAAAAAATTAGTTTACTTCTTCCTTCTTGGAGGGAGTTTGATAATTCCATAAGAGAAACTGCTTAATTTCAGGGACACCCAAATTTTGAGACTCACCAACTGATATGATTTTTCTAAATTGAGCGGCTGACATACGGTTGGCATTAAAAAATATATATATACATATGATAATTAAGGCCATTAGAAGACGAGAAAGAGGTAAGAAATCTTGCAACCGACTACTATCATCTTTCAAAAAAAGAAGAGTACATTTATATCAACAATCAGAAAGAAAATGATTCCAGAATAAAAAGAGCCCTTAATATTTAATGAATTTAGATTTATTCAATATGTATCACATTGACCTTATTTTTACTGTTTTTCTGAGGACTGATCAGATTTCATGATAGGACAGCAGCTATCCCAAGACTGGCATTTAGAAAGCACTGGCTTCTCCACCCCCCCATCGCCCCCCCCCCCCACCGCCCCCTTCTATCCTGGAAAGCACAGTGCACAGAGGAAAAGCATGGCTTTGTTGTTTGAGAATAGATATGATTTTTTTTAAAATAGTTCCCTATGGAAGAAATGTGTTTGAGTCTTCCTTATGAAGAATAAGGAAGGGAAAAAAAAAAGAGAAAGCAAGCAGGCAGCAGAAACAGTTCTCTTCTTGAAAAAGTCTTAGAAATGCAAGCTAACACCTTTCCTTTGATTACCCTAGAGTCACTCATTCAGAGATCTTCTAGAAAGGAAAAGGCAAGTGAAGCTCTGAACTGCTTGAAAGAAGAAAAATAAGTAGCCTAAAGGCATAGACATCAGATCACAGCTTAGACTGAGTTAAAATGCTGGTATCATATCCAGGTTCTTGGATTTTATCACAAGCCATCGTGAGAACAAGTATGGAAAAGAAACAGGTTTATATTAGTTCTGAAGAGGGTTTCTGTATGAATGATTGGTTTTGGTGTTTATTTAAAGCTTATGTTTACCTGTAAAAACATAAAGGAGAATTGCTTCTGGAAGTCTCTACTTGTGTGAGGAATAAGGCAGGTCATGAATGAATAGAGGTTTTTTTTTTTTTTTCTTTTAATTCTAAAAATGGAAATGCCCAATTAAATGTCTGAGTAGAATGAGGCCAGTACCATTATCTTGGATCGGAGGGAAAGCAAGTCCTTATTCCTCTGACCCCGGTTTCTACCGGGGCAGGGTCTTCAGGTGTGGGGTGAGCCAGTGGGAAGCCTCAGCCTCTGAAGCCCTGAACATGTTAACCAGAGACAGAGGAGCTTTGTGAAAACCCATTTTTCAACCCCTACCCTTGCACATTTCCAGTCGACTTTTCATTATGATGAATGAATGGGAGATGCAGTAAATTAGCAGATTATAGAAAGCCTGCCTACAGGTTGGTCTTTTTTTTTTCTCCACTTCCAGATGGTGTTTTTTGGCTACATGGTATTCAGCATCCTCTTTGGCCTCCTAGCTGACAGATACGGACGCTGGAAGGTAGGTTGGCCTTAAAGAATGATTTGGAATTTTCTTTTGCGTTTTCTTTTGTGATGACGTCACCACTGCTTCTCTTTCTCCATCAATAACCAAGAGAGAATGTGTGGAAATGTCCCTCTCTGACACCGCGTGTCCAAATTCCAGACTACTCTCTTTGCTTTCTCATCTTTTTCTGAAACACCTGTCCTTACACCTGGTCCCCGCCATCCAGGAATGTAACTGATGGATGCACACAGTTAAAAGGTATTAGAATACAGAGATTGACACATAGAAACATAAGCAGCTTCATGTTAGTTAGCTTGGGCATAACTTTGAAACTAAGCCACCAGCTCAAGGTCATACACCTACTAAGATTAAGCAGTAAGAGAGGAACCTATGTCCTTTGAAAAGAAGCCCAGGTCTGTCTTTTGTTTCCTTGTCTAGTATCTGGTAGGGAAGGCATCTCTGGTCATAAGCACAAGGGGGAGAAGCTCCAAAGGAAAATAGAGAACTAGCTGTACGTTTTGAGGTACACAGAGTAAATATCATAGGCATTCATAAGTTGATCTGAAAACACAAGTATCTCAAAAAAATGTAAAAAGCACAAGAAGACATTTTACAAAAAAATAGAAATGGTCAACAAATCTTGAAAGATATTCAATCATGGGAGTTATTCAAAGGAAAAATATTAGAAGATATGATTTTTTTGGTATTAAATCCATAAAGAAAGCTGCAAGTGTACAGACACCTTCACATAGCATTAGTATAGTTTTCTGACCATCAGTTGGGCAGTGTGAATTACCCAATCTCCTAGTCTAGAAATCTAGCCTGTTTCAGTCATCTGAGAACCACAGAGATTTATGTACATAGTCACAGCTAACTGGGACAGTGAGAAAATCTGTTTTCAACCATAGAGGAATCCACATTATATTATGTGGATTATCCTACATCTTTCCATTGGAATATTTTGCAGACATTAAAAATATGTTTTCCTATGAGAGACTCCTAACTCTGGGAAACCAACTAGGGGTGGTGGAAGGGGAGGTGGGTGGGGGGTGGGGGTGACTAGGTGACGGGCACTGAGGGGGGCACTTGATGGGGTGAGCACTGGGTATTATTCTATATGTTGGCAAATTGAACACCAATAAAAAATAAAGTTATAAAAAAATATGTTTTCCCTTTCAAGCAGGGAAAGTAGGATAAAACCACATTAACAAGTATTTTCTTTGGGTTGGGAAGTTAAGCAAGATTTAAACATTTTTATTTTTCTCTTTTTCTTCCATTTTTCTCCACTGTAAATTTGTGTTATTCTTATAATTAGAGAGAAAGCAAATACTTAAATTTTCTCCTCGTCCCCATTCCAACACAATGCTTCACTGTGCTCCTAACGAGGGCAGGTTTTGGCATCCTGATTTACAAGTTTCGGCTCCTGTCACCTGATAGGGTAGATGCAATTGGGCAGTTTTGAAGAATGGTTTGAATTTGGAATGTCTGGGCTTTCAGGCAATACAGTGACATGCATCATGTTATTTGACAAGTGTGAGAGATTGGTGAGCTCTCTGTAAAATTAGCACCTCGGAGAAGCAAACATCTGGATGGAAAATAAAAATCACCCTCAGAAGTTAAATTTTCTCAGGGCACCTGGGTGGCTCAGCAGTTGAGTGTCTGCCTTTGGCTCAGGGTGTGATCCTGGGGTCCTGGGATCGAGTCCCACATCCAGCTCCCTACAGGGAGCCTGCTTCTCCCTCTGCCTGTGTCTCTGCTTCTCTCTGTGTGTCTCTCATGAATAAATTAAAATCTTAAAGAAAAAAAAAGAAGTTAAATTTTCTCTCATTAATTTCTTCCGTTGAGGCAGATCCCATTAACAGGTCTCTTTTTGTTGCTTCAGATTTTGCTCATCTCATTCCTGTGGGGAGCCTACTTCTCCTTGCTGACCTCTTTCTCTCCCTCCTACATCTGGTTTGTCTTCCTGCGGACAATGGTGGGCTGTGGCGTGTCTGGCCATGCACAAGGGTAAGGACTCTACCTAGAGGATGCTTGAGAGAGTGAGAGAGAGAGAGATGTGTACACCCCCAGATACACTGTCGTTTATGGCCCAACAGCATCAGTAAGTTGTAAATGTATAAGCCTTCACTTGTGCTAATTATTTTTTAGCTTTTTTATTTTTAAAATTTTTTCTTGAAGTGCTGGCTGCTTATTCCATGGGGGGCTATTTGCTCATCAAAATGATGTTTGATGGTGAGGCTAGCAGAGGACACTAGATTGATCATGTGCCAGTGTCTCTGTCCCTAAGGCCAATCTTGATTTTGTTTGACTAAATGGTACGCCAAAGGACCATATGAGGTAGGTGCCGCAATCTATTCATTTCTTGAGAACTTGTTGGGAGAGTTTAGTTTGATCAGAAGCAATCATTTTAAAGTACCATTGCCCCATGACTGAAGATGGTGTCTAAGTGCATTTGCAAATCAGGGGGAGACCCTGGAAAGAGAGGGTGGCTGCTGGCCCCTCTCTGTCCTGGGGTGAGTGTGCAGTGACCTCTCCTGCCTAGGGTGGGGTGGGGGTGGGGGTGCTGGGGGGGTGGGGGGGTGGAAGTAGGGGGTGGGAGTGGGGGTGGGGGTAAGGGGGTGGGGTGGGGGTAGGGGTGGGGGTCGGGGGTGGTTCTGTTAAACATTCAGCAACTCGAGAGCCTCCCTGAAGTTCGCAGGGTCCTTCAGGCTACTGTCTCCTGGTTGCCTTGGAGCAAGTTATCCTTAGACTGTATTAGGAGATATCAAAGCATCCGATTATTACCCTAATGTGTCGCAGAAAGATTGTTCCTCCCTGAGGCATAAATTAAGCCCCACTTGGAGCAGAAGTTAGCTTGAAATTTACAACATCCCTCAGGAACCAGCCCAATAAATATGTTAAGAAAACCCAAACGCTGGTTAATAATTGCAACAGGGAAGAGCAGTTAGAAAACTGAAGGGAGTGTGATTCTATTTATTTGTCTTGTCCCAAAATTAATTAGAAACCTAGGCTCTGACTCCTCATTCCTCATGGCCAACTATTTCTCTCTGTGTGTGTGTGTGTGTGTGTGTCTCATGAATAAATAAATAAAATATTTTTTAAAAAGAGAGAGAGAAAGCGCATGGGAGCAGGGGGTGCTGGGAGGGGGTGCAGAGCAAGAATCTTAAGCAGGCTCCACGTGGATCCCGATGCGGGGCTCAATCTCGTAACTCTGAGATCATGACCTGAGCCGAAATTAAGAGCCAGATGCTTAACCAACTGAGTCACCCAGGTGCCCCGACAAATCTTCACTTCTGACCCTAAATATCTGGGCTCTTTATGCACTGGCCAATTCTCCAATGCCAGCTGGGTGTTCTATAGTTCATTCTGACCCTAGATGGAGTTTGCTCAGACCCCACAGGTTTGGGACTCAGTCGCATGAGGCTATCACCCACCTCAGACACCAAGCACAAGTCCCCAGGTTATCCACAACGTCTGTCTCAGTTGCTACAAATTGGAAGTTGCCACAAATCCTTCTGCGGGTCCAGTAAATTGCTAGAGCAGCTCGCAGGACCCAGGAAAAGAGTTTACTTACTATGGCAGATTTATTACAAAGGACATTTTAAAGGAAACAGATGAACAGCCAGATGAAGAGATACACACAGGGCAAGGTCTAGAAGGGTCCCTGGGAGTTTGTGGTACACCTTCCTCCTTCCACCAGCACATAGATGTGTTTACCAGCCTGGAAGCCCTCCGAACTTTGTACGTCAGGGATTTTTATGGAGGCTTCATCATGTAGGCATGAGGGATTATCAATGCATTTTTCAATTCCTTTCCTCTCTCTAGGGGGTGGGGGAAAGGCCTGGATGTTCCAAGAGTCTAAACGTGGCTTGGCCTTTTAAGACCGGGCCCCATCCAGGTGCTCACCAAGAGCCACCTCATTAAAACAAACGATGCTCCTTTGGACCAGAGAATTCCAAGGATCCTAGGTGTTTGGTGTCAGAAACTGGACTCAAAGACCAAGTATCAGTGAAACTGGGAGCTGAGGGCAGTATATATATATTTTTCACAATGATGAAGCCTGTGGGTTTTCGTTCTTTATCTCTGTAACAAGAAAAGTTGTGATTTTAAAAAAGTAATTGCTTTCATAAAAACAACATTATTCTGTTCCTCCTCCTTTCCTGTTTAGGCTAATCATAAAGACTGAATTTTTGCCTACAAAATACCGAGGCTACATGCTCCCCTTGTCTCAGGTGAGATAACATAGGAACTCCACCTGCCTCCTCATCCTAGAGGACATGATGCACAGTTTTGCTCCTGGCTCGTTGATTGTTTGATTAGCACACTGTCTGTTTCTTGGTATTAACTAAAGAGCACTAGGAAGGCTTGAAGCCAGAGGTCCCATTTCAAGGTTTTCTTCCGCCAGGACTTTTGTACTTTTGTCACCCAACAGTAGCATTTAGAACACGGTAGCCCCTTCCAGGAAACATCCCAATGGCTGGTTTCAGTGGAATGAGAGAAGCCCAGGAATGCATCTGGGATAGACTTTGGCTTCCCACTGCGTCTTCAGCAGGGGCACACAGCGACCACCCCTTTTTAGGGCATCCCGTCTCTCCTCCAGGGTTACTAGTATCTGCAAGACTATAGTTGGCCCACGCCGGTGGGGACATGCTGTAAGTGCCTTGTCCAGCTGAGCCATTGATCCAAGTGAGGAGACTGGGGTGCCTGCCTGCCCTCCGGGGCCCCACTGGCCACTGAGGCAGGTTTTGCATCAGAAGCTGTGTCAGTCTTGAACCATCTCTGATGCTGTCATTATCTAAAAGCCCTGACTTTCAGGAAGTCCAGGAAAGAAAAGGCTACCCCTGTCTAGCTGAGCCTTCTATTTATAGACAAGTAACGGAGCCTTGGAGAAGTGAAGTGATGTTCTCTGTTCATCCAGGTCCTGGAGGTGGTGCTAGGCGTAGAACTCAGACTTGGGCTCTTTAAAGACTCTCTTCCATCTTATACTGAAATGTTCCCCGAGAGGCAGGGTTGAGCATACTTAATCGGAGGAATTTTAAAGATTTTATTTTCAAGTTATTTCTATACCCAACATGGGGCTTGAACTTAATCCCTAAGATCAAGAGTTATGTGCTCCACCAACTGAGCCATCCCCAGGTGCCCCCGCCCACAGGAGGAGTTTTACCCTCCCGTTCTCTCCCCAGGTTTTCTGGTTGGCTGGCTCCCTGCTTATAATCGGCCTGGCCTCTGTGGTCATCCCCACCATCGGGTGGCGATGGCTCATCCGCATCGCCTCCATTCCCGGCATCATCCTCATCTTGGCCTTCAAGGTAAGGATGCTCACAGGGCTCCCTCTTGTCCTCCCCTCCCACTGACCCAGCGGTCCTTTTGCCCCGCAAATAGCAGCCTTACATCTGCCTCTTTCCTTTCCTCAAGACTGTCTCAACCCACTTCATCCCTCCCCTCGGTTAGCCTGCCTTCTGATCATTTCTTGCTGGAAGTCTTATCTCTCAGCTGCGCTCTATTTGGGCTGACCCCTCTCTGACCTTTAGTGCTTGTAGTTGGATGCCTGGTACACATTCTCAGGCCACTACAGAGCAGCTGGTTTGCCCCTCTGCTCTCCCTCCAATCCGCAGAATCATCATCTTCCTTGGGTTCTAGTAGAATTATGCTCATTGTTCAAAGACAGAGCTAACAGCTCAGGGGACCTGGGATGTGGGGTGTGTGTGTGTGTATGTCACCTAACATTTTGGAATCAAAGAACTTCACAGATTCAGAAGGGTCCTTGGAAGGCATTTGGTTCATACTACAACCAAAACCACACATTCTATTGCTGCCAGAACAGTCCCAGCTTCAGGCACTTGTAGACGTTAGAGTTGAGAGACTACCTCAGTATGTTCCATCTCCAGACAACCCTGGTTCTTGGGAAGTTCTTTCTTAAGTTGAGAGGACTCTGCCTCCTTATGAATTTACCTGCGGTCTTAGTACTTCTCTCTGAAAAACCAGAGGTCTACCTTCTGCATGATAGCCCTCCAGGTATTTAAGAATCTGGCCCAATCAAAGCTCTTCTTTGCATTTGACAGTACCATCACCTTCAACTCTCTCTTGACACCGGATCCCAGAACCCCATCTGTTTTTGTCTGGCTGAGCTATTTTTTGGTCAATGTCTTCTCTGCAGTGAACTGTGGCTTGACATCACACATAGAGCTACAGGTGCCTGGGGCCAGTGGCTGAGTGGGCCTGGGGCCTCCCGTGAGCAGCCCGTCTGCCTTGGTGGATGCAATTTAAAACCATGTGCTTCCTAGCCCACTGCCTCGTGCTGCTGGGCTCACGATCAACTACAGCCCAAGCTCCGCTCTGTGTGAGTTGTTTCCAAGTCCAGATGCCTGAAAATTGTGATTCAACAGTTGATATTTTTAAAAAATCTAAATGTAGGACTCTGGTTGCCAACATTTAAATTTCACCTTTCCATGTCCCATTTCACCTGGGTTTGCCTCTAGGGAGGCATTGGGGTCTACTGGCTCTGAAACCAGACTGCTCTGGCTCCACCATCCCGGGCAAGTTATCCCGCCCTTTGAGGCTAATGAATAGGATGTATCTCCTAGGGCTCTTGGGAGGATGAAACAGGATAATGTGTAAGAGTCTCTATGAGCCTGGAACATGAACAATATTCAATGTGTGTTAGCTCTGCTGCTATGTTATTACCTTTATTTTTTTTTAATTTTTAAAAAGATTTTTATTTATTTATTTGAGAAAGAAAGGGAGAGAGAGCATGAGTAGGGGGGAGAGGAGGAGGGAGAAGCAGACTTCCCACTGAGCTGAGAGCCCTAGGTGCCAGGACACCGAGACTATGACCTGAGCCGAAGGCAGACGTTTAACCCACTGAGCCACCCAGGCGCCCCTGTTATTACCTTTTTAAAAATTATTATTTTGAATCTTGATCTTGTCTTTGGACTTATCACACTCACACCGAGTATACACCAGGCTCAGCATTAGGTTTCAAGGCTAAAACTAGGCATAAGATAGAGTTCTTGCCACCAAGGAGCACCAGCCAGTCAGCGAGAGACAGATATGAAGGCAAAAGGTGGTCGTACCAGCAAGACGCAGCAAGTGCTGTAACAGCTTTCGTTCTGTGGGTGCTCAGGGGAGAGAGTGATCTATCCAGTGGGGCGGTGCTGTTGAATTTGGCCTTGAGGGATAGGACAGCCTGCACCTGGAGGGCCAGAGAGTGGGGCAAGGGCATTTCGGCAGGGCTGATGTGTCAGTCCTGTCAGGAAGGTGTGAAATGCAAGATGTGTTTGGGGGAGAGCAGGTAAGCTGGAATGGGGGCTGCGAGGACAGGCCTGTGTCCGGATTATGAGGGCCTTTGAGGCAAGGGGTGCTGGTGGTGCGGAAGGGGTTGTGTGCTGGGAACCTGGTTTCCAACTGCGTGGAGCCTGGTGGGAGGACATACAGAAAACATCAGGAGGGGCGCCTGGGAGGGCTCAGTCTGTTAGGTGTTCGGCTCAGTCATGATCCCCGGGTCCTGGGATCCCTGCTCAGTAGGGAGACTGCTTCTCCCTCTCCCTCTGCTCCCACTCATGCTCTCCCTCTCTAGCAAATAAATAAAAGCTTAAGAAAAAAGAAAAGAAAATGTCAGGAAAGTAGTCAGAATAATCCCAGTGGGAAATGAGGAGGACCTGCCCTGCCTGCTGGCCATGGGATGGGGAGTAGGGTGCTACTAGGGGAGGTGCTTTTTCTGAGGAAGAACCAGCCCACCTTGATTGGTTGTGAGGCATGAAGGTCAGGGAATGGATCAAGGTCATTCTTGGTCCCAGCCTCCATGGAGCCCTGTAGTATGTATATGTGTTTGAGAGAGTAAGGGCATGGGTTGGGGGGAGGGTCAGAGAGTGAGGGACAAGCAGACCCCACTGGGTGGGGAGCCCAACATGGGGCTCAATTCCAGGACCCCAAGATTTCGACCTGAGCTGAAGTCAGTCACTTAAGCGAGTGAGCCACCCAGGTGCCCAGCCCATAGTGTTTTCTGGGTATGGTGTTCAACAATCAGTGGGTTGAGGGTCTGGATTGTCAGGAATGATTCTTCCTCATGGGCGCTGTAGTCCTGCTGTGGGCTGTCATCTGGGGAAGATGGCAGCATCCCTGGGGAGAGGCTGGGGTGACAGAGCAATAGAGGGGCCCTGGGGCAGCTCTTTACCACGTGGATGTAGAACTTTCCTTGTGTTGACCACAAGGTCGGGCTGACCTACTGAAACCTCAGTATCGGCCCCCTGGCCTCAAGATGGGACTATCAAAAGGAGCACATGACCCTGTTTGTTCCAGATCAACTCGGAATGCAGGGGATGCCTGCTGTGTTGGGGCTTTCTGCTTGCTGCTCCTCATCTTGGGAGACTGGGCCGTGTGACACACATCACAGTAGTAGTGGAACCCCTGGGGTCACAGCCCTTGAACCCTCACGCTCTTTCCTTCTGTGCCCAGTTTATCCCTGAGTCTGCTCGCTTCAATGTCTCCACTGGGAACACTCAGGCTGCCCTGGCCACACTGCAGCGCATCGCCAAGATGAACCGCTCGGTCATGCCAGAGGGGACACTGGTGGAGCCCATCCTGGTGAGTTCCCAGGTGGGAGGCCTTCTCCCCTGACCAGAAGTCCCCTCGTCCTGGCAGGGCAGGGGGACACCTTTGCCCTCTAGCCCCACCCTGGAGGGACGAGGAAAGAGAGCAGAGTAGACTGAGACGAAACCCAGCACCACAAGAGCCAGGCGGCCCTAGTCAGCAAGCCACCTACCTTCACCTTCCTCATCCATGAAATGGCAATAATGGCATCTACCGTTCAAAGGTAGTCATGTGACTTGGCACCTTTGTTTATAGGTGAGAGGTTGTTTTATCATTTTGTTTTCTTGTACTGACCTTATAAATGATATAAATGATAAGTGATATCAAACTTATCAGACCTCATTAAATAATTTCTTAAAATTTGGCATTTACATTCTAATGGTTCCAGGTCTCTCTTTTTTTAATTTAATTTAATTTAATTTTTTTATTTTTTTAATAAATTAATTTTTATTGGTGTTCAATTTACCAACATACAGAATAACACCCAGTGCTCATCCCGTCAAGTGTCCCCCTCAGTGCCCGTCACCCACTCACCCCCACCCCCCGCCCTCCTCCCCTTCCACCACCCCTAGTTCGTTTCCCAGAGTTAGGAGTCTTTATGTTCTGTCTCCCTTTCTGATATTTCCCACACATTTCTTCTCCCTTCCCTTATATTCCCTTTCACTAATATTCATATTCCCCAAATGAATGAGAACATACACTGTTTGTCCTTCTCCGATTGACTTACTTCACTCAGCATAATACCCTCCAGTTCCATCCACGTTGAAGCAAATGGTGGGTATTTGTCCTTTCTAATGGCTGAGGAATATTCCATTGTATACACAAACCACATCTTCTTTATCCATTCATCTTTCGATGGGCACCGAGGCTCCTTCCACAGTTTGGCTATTGTGGACATGGCTGCTAGAAACATCGGGGTGCAGGTGTCCCGGCGTTTCATTGCATTTGAATCTTTGGGGTAAATCCCTAACAGTGCAATTGCTGGGTCGTAGGGCAGGTCTATTTTTAACTCTTTGAGGAGCCTCCACACAGTTTTCCAGAGTGGCTGCACCAGTTCACATTCCCACCAAGAGTGCAAGAGGGTTCTCCTTTCTCCGCATCCTCTCCAACATTTGTTGTTTCCTGCCTTGTTAATTTTCCCCATTCTCACTGGTGTGAGGTGGTATCTCATTGTGGTTTTGATTTGTATTTCCCTGATGGCAAGTGATGCAGAGCATTTTCTCATGTGCATGTTGGCCATGTCTATGTCTTCCTCTGTGAGATTTCTCTTCATGTCCTTTGCCCATTTCATGGTTGGATTGTTTCTTTGCTGTTGAGTTTAATAAGTTCTTTATAGATTTTGGAAACTAGCCCTTTATCTGATATGTTATTTGCAAATATCTTCTCCCATTCTGTAGGTTGTCTTTTAGTTTTGTTGACTGTATCCTTTGCTGTGCAAAAGCTTCTTATCTTGATGAAGTCCCAATAGTTCATTTTTGCTTTTGTTTCTTTTGCTTTCGTGGATGTATCTTGCAAGAAGTTACTGTGGCCAAGTTCAAAAAGGGTGTTGCCTGTGTTCTCCTCTAGGATTTTGATGGAATCTTGTCTCACATTTAGATCTTTCATCCATTTTGAGTTTATCTTTGTGTATGGTGCAAGAGAGTGGTCTAGTTTCATTCTTCTGCATGTGGCTGTTCAATTTTCCCAGCACCATTTATTGAAGAGATTGTCTTTCTTCCAGTGGATAGTCTTTCCTCCTTTATCGAATATTAGTTGACCATAAAGTTCAGGGTCCACTTCTGGGTTCTCTATTCTGTTCCATTGATCTATGTGTCTGTTTTTGTGCCAGGACCACACTGTCTTGATGACCACAGCTTTGTAGTACAACCTGAAATCTGGCATTGTGATGCCCCCAGATATGGTTTTCTTTTTTAAAATTCCCCTGGCTATTCGGGGTCTTTTCTGATTCCACACAAATCTTAAAATAATTTGTTCTAACTCTCTGAAGAAAGTCCATGGTATTTTGATAGGGATTGCATTAAACGTGTAAATTGTCCTGGGTAACATTGACATTTTCACAATATTAATTCTGCCAATCCACGAGCATGGAATATTTTTCCATCTCTTTGTGTCTTCCTCAATTTCTTTCAGAAGTGTTCTATAGTTTTTAGGGTATAGATCCTTTACCTCTTTGGTTAGGTTTATTCCTAGGTATCTTATGATTTTAGGTGCAATTGGAAATGGGATTGACTCCTTAATTTCTCTTTCTTCAGTCTCATTGTTAGTGTATAGAAATGCCATTGATTTCTGGGCATTGATTTTGTATCCTGCCACGCTACCAAATTGCTGTATGAGTTCTAGCAATCTTGGGGTGGAGGCTTTTGGGTTTTCTATGTAGAGTATCATGTCATCAGCGAAGAGGGAGAGTTTGACTTCTTCTTTGCCAATTTGAATGCCTTTAATGTCTTTTTGTTGTCTTATTGCTGAGGCTAGGACTTCCAATACTATGTTGAATAGCAGTGGTGAGAGTGGACATCCCTGTCTTGTTCCTGATCTTAGGGGAAAGGCTCCCAGTGCTTCCCCATTGAGAATGATATTTGCTGTGGGCTTTTCGTAGATGGCTTTTAAGATGTCGAGGAAAGTTCTCTCTATCCCTACACTGTGAAGAGTTTTGATCAGGAATGGATGCTGTATTTTGTCAAATGCTTTCTCTGCATCTAACGAGAGGATCATATGGTTCTTGGTTTTTCTCTTGCTGATATGATGAATCACATTGATTGTTTTACGAGTGTTGAACCAGCCTTGTGTCCCGGGGATAAATCCTACTTGGTCATGGTGAATAATTTTCTTAATGTACTATTGGATCCTATTGGCTAGTATCTTGTTGAGAATTTTTGCATCCATGTTCATCAGGGATATTGGTCTGTAATTCTCCTTTTTGGTGGGGTCTTTGTCTGGTTTTGGAATTAAGGTGATGCTGGCCTCATAGAATGAATTTGGAAGTATTCCATCTCTTTGTATCTTTCCAAACAGCTTTAGTAGAATAGGTATGATTTCTTCTTTAAATGTTTGATAGAATTCCCCTGGGAAGCCATCTGGCCCTGGACTCTTGTGTCTTGGGAGGTTTTTGGTGACTGCTTCAATTTCCTCCCTGGTTATTGACCTGTTCAGGTTTTCTATTTCTTCCTGGTCCAGTTTTGGTAGTTTGTGGCTTTCCAGGAATGCGTCCATTTCTTCTAGATTGCCTAATTTATTGGCGTAGAGCTGTTCATAATATGTTTTTAAAATCGTTTGTATTTCCTTGGTGTTGGTAGTGATCTCTCCTTTCTCATTCATGATTTTATTAATTTGAGTCTTCTCTCTCTTCTTTTTAGTAAGGTTGGCTAATGGTTTATCTATCTTATTAATTCTTTCAAAGAACCAACTCCTGGTTCTATTGATCTGTTCCACAGTTCTTCTGGTCTCAATTTCGTTGAGTTCTGCTCGAATTTTAATTAACTATCTTCTTCTGCTGGGCATCGGGTCCATTTGCTGTTTTTTCTCTAGCTCCTTTATGTGTAAGGTTAGCTTTTGTATTTGAGTTCTTTCCAGTTTTTGAATGCATGCTTGTATTGCGATGTATTTCCCCCTCAGGACTGCTTTTGCTGCATCCCAAAGATTTTGAACGGTTGTATCTTCATTCTCATTAGTTTCCATGAATCTTTTTAATTCTTCCTTAATTTCCTGGTTGACCCTTTTATCTTTTAGCAGATGGTCCTTAACCTCCACGTGTTTGAGGTCCTTCCAAACTTCTTCTTGTGATTGAGTTCTAATTTCAAGGCGTTATGGTCTGAGAATATGCAGGGGACGATCCCAATCTTTTGGTATCGGTTCAGACCCAATTTGTGACCCAGTATGTGGAGAAAGTTCCATGTGCACTTGAGAAGAATGTGTATTCAGTTGAGTTTGGATGTAAAGTTCTGTAGATATCTGTGAAATCTATCTGGTCCAGTGTATCATTTAAAGCTCTCGTTTCTTTGGAGATGTTGTGCTTAGAAGACCTATCGAGGGTAGAAAGAGCTAGATTGAAGTCACAAAGTATAAGTGTATTATTATCTAAGTATTTCCTCACTTTGGTTAATAATTCGTTTAAGTATTTTGCAGCTCCCACATTTGGGGCATATATATTGAGGATTGTTAAGTCCTCTTGCTGGATAGATCCTGTAAGTATGATATAGTGTCCCTCTTCGTCTCTCACTACTGTCTTCGGGGTAAATTTTAGTTTATCTGATATAAGGATGGCTACCCCTGCTTTCTTTTGAGGACCATTTAAATGGTAAATGGTTCTCCAACCTTTTATTTTCAGGTTGTAGGTGTCCTTCTGTCTAAAATGAGTCTCTTGTAGACAGCGAATAGATGGGTCCTGCTTTTTTATCCAGTCTGAAACCCTGAACCTTTTGATGGGGTCATTGAGCCTGTTCACGTTCAGAGTTACTATTGACAGATATGAGTTTAGTGTCACCATGATATCTATTTAGTCCTTGTTTTTGTGGATTGTTCCACTGAACTTCTTCTTAAAGGGGAATTTTAAGAGTCCCCCTTAAAATTTCTTGCAGAGCTGGTTTGGAGGTCACATATTCTTTCAGTTCCTGCCTGTCTTGGAAGCTCTGTATCTCCCCTTCCATTTTGAACGAGAGCCTTGCTGCATAAAGTATTCTTGGTTGCATGTTCTTCTCCTTTAGGACCCTGAATATATCCTGCCAGCCCTTTCTGGCCTGCCCCTTCTCTGTGGAGAGGTCTGCTGTTACCCTAATATTCCTCCCCATGGAAGTCAGGGACTTCTTGTCTCTTGCTGCTTTAAGGATCTTCTCTTTATCTTTGGAATTTGCAAGCTTCACTATTAAATGTCGAGGTGTTGAACGGTTTTTATTGATTTTAGGGGGGGATCTCTCTATTTCCTGGATCTGAATGCCTGTTTCCCTTCCCAGATTGGGAAAGTTTTCAGCTAGGATTTGTTCAAATACATATTCTGGCCC